GAGCCCTCACAACTCTCAAGTTAGAAGGCACACAACCTTGGTTTCAACCAATCTCTCTGAGGATCTCTGAGCTTCTCTGACAAGGGTATCAACCTTTAATCATCTGAATAACCTTCTTGGCTATCTTCATAGTCTTGATTGGTACTCATACCTCTTGATGAACACAAGCTAGGTAAATAAATGTTGGTCAAATTTTGGGGTGCAACACATTGCTCGGAGGGGGATTTAGTTTCTTAGTTAGAGGAGTCACTTCAGAAAGTTTCTTACCGCTCATCGAACGAATAAACAATAAACAAATAAAGACACTCCATATGAAAATACAAATAAGATATATAAAAGACAACACTTTTCTACAAAGTTTTAAAAAGTCTTGCACAAAAGGGTCTCATTGGGCGTGATAATTTGTTCAATCACGTATTTAGTTCACTTAAGAGAATAACTCGAAAAACCTCAAGGTCAATTTGTGCAAGAGAAGAAGGCCAAGAAAAACGTGCGTGACTTAGATTTAAATGCTTGAATAATGATAAACTCGACACAATCAATATGCTTTGGAAGAAAATAATAAACAGTAAAAATAATAAATGACATTAAAGTAAATGCTTCAAATACAAAAAAATTGCAAAAAGTTTAAAGAGGGGATGCAGACTCACGTTTCTCACAAACCGTTTCTCTCTGTGACTTGAAACTAATAAGTGAAAATTTGAGACATATAACTCATACATTGAGCTTATCTTATATAGTAATACAATAGTAACAATCAACAATGGATAGATCCTAATGATCTGTCACGTTTCCCATTACTTAGGCAACTTTGCTCTAACTTGCTTCCACGCGTCTTCATGGACAAAACTACTGAAAACCAACCACTACGCCGATAACTGCATCGACAACTGCCCTTGAACTCCTTAACCGTCTACGCAGATGGACCTTGATCTATCCCTAAGAGGCTGAGATATCTTCATATCACATAGTCTTTGGACTTAAGAATATCTTAAGTGTCAAACACTTAGTAAACACGTCGACTTTGACACCGGTCGAAGGTCTGACTTGTCAAACCCCTTTTTCAAGATTTTGAACATATTTGGAAGAAAGTGATCCTAATCTTGTAGATATGTTCTTAAGACTCCTATAAACTATAGTTTGTCTCGACTCATATGACAAGTTAGTTGGACCACTCAATCGACATAGTTAATATGTCAAAACTTTTGGTTGAATTTTTTGACACTTTTCATTTTCAACGTAGCTATTACAGTTCTTTGTTAACTTTTCACCAGCTATAGTTTCCAGGTTAACAGAAAGGAACTTTTGGAAGGACCATTATAGATGTCATTCTGTTTTAGACACATACAACATTACAATTCAGAAGACAACAAAGGAACAAATGGTTCGGTATAGCCATTAGAATATAGTTGTATTAGGGATTATGGATATTAATATCATTTGTACATTGTTATTTTGAAAATATTATGGATTTTGTTTCTATTTTAATATATGTCATTTTCATCTTATTACATCAATATATCATTTAATTGATAAAAAGTTTATTATGACAATATAATTATAATATATGGTCTATTACATCAGTGTATTTCTAAAAAATGTCAATTTTTATTGCTTAAAGGGTGATTACAGAAATATATTTACGTAGATTGTTACAGAGATGCATCTTCGAACAATATTATGACAAAATGACAGTGTGACTAAGTAATGAATGAATGAGGTTATTATGAAGATACATCTCTAGAATAAATTATGAAAAAAATGAAGGTGTTGCTCACTTACACCTTGATTTGGTGTACATGGATACATTTAGAGATATACTTTCGGAATTTGAGAAGTATTTTCGAATTTTTATAGTGTTTCTCCACATGAAGGGAGAAATGATTCCATTAAAAAGTTCTATATCATTTTTCTTGATAGATAAATTTATTTTTATCAAAGTTAATCGATTTGTATTTCAAACAAATTCTTTATCGTTTTTTCAATTGATAATCGAAATAGATCAGCCTATCAAACAAAAAAAAGTAAGTGCGTATGCGGTCCGCCAATCTTTGACGTTTTTTGAAGACTGATTTTCGAGTAGAATAGTTTTGACCTTGAAAGTAAAGGCTTCGACCTGCCAGCCTAGACCTATTCTAATAGATTAAGCCCCTAACTCCTAATTTTTTTTCTTCAGAATCGTTATTTTATTTAATTCAACAGTAATAGCAATGGTGTATCTAACAGACGAGATTTTGAAAAAATAAAAGAAAAAAATTTTTAAAATAAATAATAAGGGCGGTGATGATATATTTGTTGGGGGTCATATGTAATTTTTTTCGATTTTCTCTGATTTTTCTTTTTTTTCTTTAAAAAGAAAAGAAAAAGTAATGTCTAGTAGTACTTGAGAGAACTAAATAGGTAAAATACCAATCATTGGAACAGCAAATGCTTACGAGGCATCAAATGCAATTCACATGACTCCTTACCACCCACTTTAATTTTATTAGTACATGATAATCCAATAACCACATAATTCGCCACTTGCGATTCCAGCTAGCATAACACATTAGAATAATATGTGAACATGTAGCAAATTATTTTGTCTTTCACATCAGAATCAAGTCGACATCTCACCCTTTTTTACAAGATTTTAAAAGACCACTCTAATCATCTAACGTGTCTTAATTATTCCTATTTGAAAAATCAAAAAATTCCATTATCATCAGGCATCAACAACTATGTAAAAATAAAAAGAGAAAGAACAACAACTTATTCTTGCTTGCCAACTAAGCACAAAAAACACTCGGAGATAGATCCGTCACATATATGCAACTATAAATCTAAATCATCTTCATGTAAGTACAATTGAATTGCTAGTTTGACGTTAACATGCACTAATGTAATGTTCTGACTTTAGACTTGAGATTATCTACATTAAAGTGTTCGGAGTTAACTAAATTCTAAAGTAAAACCCTCTGGTAGTACAAAATATAAGGTATCTATATATTTTATAAAAAACTAATATTTTCACATATATTAAAAAATATAATTAATTTTATATAATAAATAAAAATTATAAATATTTTAAACATTATTTACGAATGATATGAATATTTTTAAAAGAATAAAAAAATAGAGATTGATACATAGTAATAAAATAGCATTAATATTTCATTACTATTATAAAATAATTTATAATTTATTATAAAGTTGTGAATAATATCTACAATTTTTGTGAATAATTTATTATTTATTTGTTCTTTTTATTTTTTTAATAAAGCTGTGAATAATATACACAATATTTTTTTATACAAGTAAAGTTGTTAATATCATTAATAGTTATATTGGTCAAATAATTAGGAAGAATGTCAATGAATTTAGCGTAGAGGAAGACCATTCAATTTTAATAAAGGTTACATATGAAATATTAGACAGGATTCAATATAGTGTAATTTTATATAAATTTTAACTATAAAATAGTTGAATTGAATGAATGTCATTAGTACATAAAAATAATAATTTAATAGTGGTTATACAATTTTAAATAATGCTAACCTGTGCGTCAATAAATAAAAAATTTATATTAAAAAAATTAATAAAATTATTAATTATACGTTTTAAATAAATTTAATACAATATTTTTAAAAAATATTTTTTATATTTATCTATTAACTTGTACTTCAAAAAGCACAAGTTAGTATTACTCTACAATTTTAAACAAAGTAAGTGACAAAGAATGTAATTAAACAATTTCATATTCAATGTTTATTTAAATATGTTGTAGAAGAGACATGTCCATTTAGATATGTTCACATATTCACATTATAAGATGGAAATTGAGAATTTAAGCATCTTTGAAAGAAAAAAAAAACACAATCGGACATTATAATGTCACATTTATAATATTGTTTGAGAAATTATTAAGAATTATATTCAACAAAATATATAAATTTTTTGTATCAATGACAATTCCATTCTCTAACTTTAATAAAAAAATTCACTAAAACATTTTCATGGCATTAAATAAAATATATGTCAACGTCTTATTTAAACCTAATCAAATCTTAACGATAGATCTCAATCTAATTATATCATGTATGTTTGAAGCTAATAAAAGATTACTAATATGTAATTATGCATAACCTTTTAATTGCATTATAGTTAAAATTTATAAACTATGGTTAGAATTTGACTTTAAAAATTAATCAATAAGTTACTTAATAAATAATTTAATCAACTTTAAAGTAAATCAAACTATTCTATTTTAAAAAATGTCATATACCACTCTATTAAATTTAAAAAAAAAAGATATATTATTCGTGGTAGTCACAATTTATTCTTATTTAGTAGATAATTTAAAAACTATTTTTGTTAATGAATTTATTTTTAAAAAAAAATACACTTGATAAATAATCAAGATATTTCAATTAAAAAAACAGTTGAGTAAATGAATTTAAGCTTGAGCCAGTTGTGGCTTTGTCGGTGGTATTGTCCACAACACCACCCGAATCATCTTCTTCCATTTACAGCACACACACACACACTCTCGCACATGCAATAAATAAAACACTAATCGCATTCATTATTTCTTCTGACAAAGACTCAAACTGAATCTCACAGCCAATTTTCTCTTCCACTGCGAGACGGCTGCATCGTGCAACCGTTTCGCTTCTCACTCTCCCAAGGTTTTTCCTCATTCAATTCTTCTACTATCACACTACGTTTTTTTCATCTTCAATTTATGTTCGAATTTCACACCGCGATTCAATTTTACTTGATCGTGTGCTTGATCTTACACTGCATCGATCGTGTTTTTGTATTGGTAATTTTGGTTGAGTTTCAATTATTATCTGAAATTCGTGATTTGATTGATTTTGATCTGAATTTGCTGTGATTGGTGATTTGGCAGGGAGGATTTGATGTTGTAACGGTTTCTCCAGTGTAGATCTGGAGAAGGGAGAGTATCCTGAACTGATCCAGCTTGGGAGAGTCGTCTTCGAGTGTAACTGGAAGCAGAGATGGCGACCGCGATGACTTGGAGATTTACTGCAAACAATGGCACCAGCCTCGCTGCTAATGAGGTAGTACTTTTTATATTTTCCTTTTTTTCAGCCTTTTTTTTCTTAGGATTTTGAGTTCGTATTAATTATTACTAAAGGCGTTTTAGTAATTTTCGTAAGTATGAACACTAGTTTTATGGATCTTATTTCCAACCAGCTTGTATGGACAATTTTGAGATCATATAGCAACATTTGAAATGAAAAATAACTAAAATCGGAGTTGTGGCTGTATACTGCAACTTAAGATCACTTTGAGCTCTCTTATGTTTTACCAAACAATTCCAGAATTGAGGCTCTTTTTTTGTTTCATTTTGAAACATGTGTCATTTTTCTTCATCAAAACAAGACGTGAAAGGTTTTATGTATATTATGAAATTGATGAGAAATGCTCAATTTTAGATAGTGAAGATTATTTGTTACACACCAAACCTTGTTATTAAATGTTGCTGTATATAATCGTCAGTTGGCCTTAAAATGGGATGCATGGCTATACTAGAAATTGTAAAGAATAGCATTGATAGATTGTTTGTTTACATATCTAAGTTAGCATTCATGACCATTATTACAAGTGGGTTAATTGTAGTGTTTTCTCGACTCAAAGTCAAATGCTATATATTACATATGACGAATACTTCTATACTACATTTCATATTCCTCTGGTGCTTTACTAAGCAAGATGCAATCCTAAATGAAGTAGTTAATTGGAATGGAAGCAACATCATTAATGCCTAGAAAATATTTACTTTCTTGTTATGTCGTATAATCAAGTCGTGACATGTTTATGATTTACCCAAGTTCCCTCACAACTTTAGTTTCTGTTTCTCCTCATATTATTGGTTTTTTTATTCTTAGCTGTAATTATGAATAAGGACAAGAGTAAAGGGATACCCTGGATTTACATGTTACATGCAAATAAATAAAAAAGAAAAATTGAACCGAGATCGATATTTTTCCATAACTGCATCTAGTATTTTTTTTTCCCTATCATGTTTAATGTTACTTCCAATGTTAACAATTTAGAGATATACAGACATTCCATTTAACTTTCTCCGCTGTCATTTTTTGATTGCAGGAAAGAAATGGCGATGGCAAAGCTCAAGATTCAGAGGCTCCAACTTCCCATTCTGTTCCGAAAATGGGATTGAGGTTTGTTACAACGTAAAACATGTCTACATTTTTTGGGAAAAAGGAATACTCTACAGCCTGGAAAAAACAATGAATCAGTTACTTGAAATTTATACTAAAGTCAATGTTTTTTCCTTCTTGTGTTCGAACATTTTTGTGATTTAGTGATTGTACTTATGCTTGCTGCCAAGTAAGCTAGCATCCATGAATCTCGCCTGTTGTATTATATCAGTTGTCTGTTTTCTTTCTTTTGAGATTCTCATTCATAGAAGATAAGGTTGAATATGCTATGTAATCTTAGAACCATCTTACTTGATGCTTTGATATATGGATTTTGATAATTTGAGCTAAGCATATATTTTAATATGTATACTGTAGTGCCTTATATTCCTAACTGATTGCAGAGAACGTAGCAGCAGCGGCATGGAGGATGCAGATGGGACATTAGCAAGTATTGCTCAATGCATTGAGCAGCTACGTCGGAGCTCATCTTCTATGCAAGAGAAAGAGTATTCCTTGAAGAAATTATTGGAGCTTATTGATATGCGTGAAAATGCTTTTAGTGCAGTTGGATCTCATTCTCAGGCAGTTCCGGTGCTCGTTTCCCTTCTCCGGTCAGGTTCATTGAATGTGAAGATACAGGCAGCAACTGTCTTGGGCTCACTTTGTAAAGAAAATGAGTTAAGGGTGAAAGTTTTGCTTGGAGGATGCATTCCTCCTTTGCTCAGTCTACTAAAGTCCAGTTCTGAAGAAGGTCAAGTAGCTGCTGCTAAGACAATTTTTGCTGTCTCCCAAGGTGATGCCAAAGATCACGTTGGATCAAAAATCTTTTCAACTGAAGGAGTTGTTCCAGTGCTCTGGGAACAGCTGCAAAAGGGCCTAAAGGGTGGAAGTGTAGTAGATAGTTTATTGACTGGAGCATTGAAAAATCTCTACAGTGGTACTGAGAGATTCTGGAATGCGACAATACAGTCTGGAGGAGTGGACATATTACTGAAGTTACTGGCAACAGGACAGTCTAGCACTTTAGCTAATGTGTGCTTTTTACTTGCCTGTATGATGATGGAAGATGCATCTTTTTGCTCAAAGCTATTGACAGCAGATGCAACAAAACAACTCCTCAAACTTTTAGGCCCTGGTAATGACGCCCCAGTTAGAGCTGAAGCTGCTGGTGCTATTAAATCTCTATCTGCCCAGTGCCAAGATGCAAGGAAAGAGATAGCCAATTGTAATGGCATTCCCGCTTTGATTAATGCTACCATAGCTCCTTCCAAAGAGTTCATGCAAGGTGAGTATGCTCAAGCAATACAGGAGAATGCTATGAGTGCTCTTGCAAACATCTCTGGTGGATTGTCTTATGTCATCTCCAGCCTTAGTAAAAGCCTTGAATCATGCTCCTCACCTACCCAAACTGCCGACACATTGGGGGCTTTAGCTTCAGCTCTTATGATATACGATGACAAGGCAGAAAATACTAAAGCATCAGATCCTTTGGCAGTTGAGCAGACATTACTCGAGCAATTTAAACCCCGTTCTCCCTTCCTTGTGCAGGAAAGGACCATTGAAGCTCTTGCTAGTTTGTATGGAAATCCTATACTATCACTTAAACTTGCAAATTCTGATGCAAAGCGTTTACTTGTTGGTTTAATAACAATGGCGGCTAAAGAAGTGCAAGATGAGCTTCTAAAAGCTCTCTTGACACTTTGCAATAGTGAATGCAGTCTATGGCGTGCACTTCAAGGCCGTGAAGGAGTTCAGCAATTGATATCACTTCTGGGGCTTTCATCAGAACAGCAACAAGAATGTGCTGTTGCCCTGCTCTGTCTTTTGTCTGATGAAAATGTTGAAAGTAAATGGGCGATTACTGCTGCTGGTGGTATACCTCCACTTGTTCAAATTTTGGAGTCGGGATCTGCCAAAGCAAAGGAAGACTCAGCAACAATCCTTAGGAACCTATGTGATCACAGTGAGGATATACGTGCCTGTGTTGAAAGCGCTGATGCAGTTCCTGCATTGTTGTGGCTATTGAAGAATGGAAGCCCAAATGGGAAGGAGATTGCAGCTAAGACCTTGAATCACTTGATTCATAAATCTGATACGGCAACTATCAGTCAGCTAACAGCATTATTGACTAGTGATCTACCTGAGTCCAAGGTTTATGTTTTAGATGCTTTGAGAAGTATGCTTTCTGTTGTTTCTCTTAGTGACCTTCTACGTGATGGCAGTGCTGCGAGTGATGCGATCAATACAATGATAAAATTATTAAGCTCCACAAAGGAAGAAACTCAGGCAAAGTCAGCATCAGCTTTGTCAGGAATTTTTGAAACAAGGAAAGATGTGCGCGAAAGCAACATTGCTGTGAAAACTCTTTGGTCAGCCATGAAGTTGCTTAATGTTGAATCTAGAAGTATCTTAGTGGAGTCCTCACGCTGCCTAGCTGCAATATTTCTTTCCATTAAAGAGAATAGGGAGGTAGCTGCTAATGCTAGAGATGCATTATTCTCTCTAGTTGCACTATCTAGCTCTTCAGTTTTGGAGGTAGCGGAGCTGGCAACATGTGCTGTGGCAAATCTTTTATTGGATAGTGAAATTGCAGAGAAAGCTATTGTGGAGGAAGTTATTTTTCCTGCTACCCGAGTATTGCGTGATGGCACAAGATCTGGAAAAATACATGCAGCAAGAGCAATTTCTCGCCTTTTGCATTCTAGGGAAGTTGATTATGCTGTAAATGATTGTGTGAACCGTGCTGGTACTGTTCTTGCATTAGTTTCTTTCTTAGATTCTGCTATTAATGAACCTGTTGCGACAACAGAGGCTCTAGAAGCACTTGCCATTCTGTCCAGGTTGAAAGAGACAGCTGGACTTAGTAAACCTGCTTGGATGACTTTGGCAGAATTCCCCAAAAGCATCAGCCCAATAGTTCTGTCAATTGCTGATTCAACACCAGTGTTGCAGGATAAAGCTATTGAAATATTATCCCGATTATGTAAGGATCAGCCTTCCGTGTTAGGAGAGATTGTTGCTACTGCATCTGGATGTATATCTTCAATAGCTAAGAGAATAATCAATTCCAGTTCTACAAATCTGAAGGTCAAAATTGGGGGAGCTGCAATTCTTATTTGTGCTGCTAGAGAAAATCACCAGAGGCTGGTGGAGGATCTAAATTTATCAAACTTGTGTGCTGATCTTGTACAGTCGCTCGTTGATATACTTATTTCTTCGCAGGCTACTTTGGTTAATCAGGACAATGACAAGAAGGAAGTCATCAGCATATGCAGGCATACAAAAGATGCCAATGACGGTATATCCACCAACAGCACCACCATTATATCTGGTGCCAATGTAGCTATATGGTTACTGTCTGTTCTTGCTAGCCATGATGAAAAAGCTAGAATTGCAATAATGGAGGCTGGAGCGATTGAGATTCTCACTGACAGGATTGAAAATTTCCCCTCACAGTACAGTCAGGTAATCAAGTGCCTTATTCACTATGTTTTTAGTTAATCTGAAATCAGTAGATTGTACCACCTAGTTCGGTTTATGTCAAATATTCACTTATTTGGATAAAACCACCCTTAGCAATCAAATGTTGATTTTGAAGGCTCTCCTCCTTATTGATGTATGTATAGTTAAATGACAGATTAGTATTTCCTATTATTTCAGCATATCAACATTTTCTGCTCTATCGTGACCATGCAGATTGACTATAAAGAAGATAGCAGCATGTGGAGTTGTGCTTTGTTGTTGGCAATATTATTTCAAGACAGGGATATCATACGAGCACATGCAACAATGAAATCTATACCAGTCCTTGTCAATTTATTGAAGTCAGAGGAATCAGCAAACAAATATTTTGCTGCACAATCTATAGCTAGCCTAGTCTGTAATGGTAGCAGGGGAACACTTTTATCTGTGGCGAATTCTGGGGCGCCAGGTGGACTTATCTCCTTGCTTGGCTGTGCTGATCTTGATATACAGGATCTTCTGGAATTGTCAAATGAATTTTCATTGGTGCCTTATCCTGATCAAGTTGCTCTCGAGAGGCTGTTTAGAGTTGATGACATTAGAGTTGGTGCCACTTCTAGGAAGGCAATACCTGCCCTAGTTGATCTACTCAAACCGATTCCAGATCGCCCAGGCGCACCATTTTTGGCACTTGGGATTATGACTCAGCTTGCTACAGATTGTCCATCAAATCAGATTGCAATGGCAGAGTCGGGGGCCATAGAGGCACTTACTAAGTATCTTTCACTGGGTCCACAAGATGCAATTGAAGAAGCTGCCACAGATCTGTTGGGGATTTTGTTTAGTAGTGCTGAGATAAGGAAACACGAGTCTGCATTTGGTGCTGTTAATCAACTTATAGCTGTGCTACGTTTAGGAGGAAGAGCTGCAAGGTATAGTGCTGCTAAAGCATTGGAAAGTTTATTCTCAGCTGACAACATTAGAAATGCAGAGAATGCCCGGCATGCTATTAAACCCTTGGTGGAGATGCTTAATACTGGCTCAGAAAGAGAGCAACATGCTGCAATTTCTGCGTTAGTCAAGTTACTGAGTGAAAATCCTTCAAGAGTACTTGTTGTTGCTGATATTGAAAAGAATGCCATTGATGTTCTTTGCAGAATTCTTTCATTAGATTGTCCAATGGATTTCAAAGGGGATGCTGCTGAGCTATGTTGTGTTCTCTTTGGAAATACAAAGATTCGATCCACAGTAGCTGCTGCACGGTGTGTTGAACCTCTGGTCTCTCTCCTTGTAAGTGAGTTTAGTCCTGCTCATGATTCAGTTGTCCGGGCATTGGATAGGCTTGTTGGTAACGAGACATTGGCTGAACTAGTTGTTGCACATGGTGCAGTTATTCCTCTCGTTGGCCTACTTTTTGGTAGGAACTTTGTACTTCATGAGGCCATTTCCAGAGCTCTGGTCAAGTTAGGGAAAGATCGACCTAATTGTAAAAATGAAATGGTGAAAGCTGGAGTCATTGAAAGTATACTTGACATCCTTCCTGAAGCACCTGATTATCTCTGTGCAGCTTTTACTGAATTGTTACGTATATTGACCAATAATGCTAGCATAGCCAAAGGACCATCAGCTGCTAAAGTGGTTGAACCCCTGTTCTTTTTGCTAACAAGGCAAGAATTTGGGTCTGATGGACAACATAGTGCGTTGCAGGTTTTGGTTAATATCTTAGAACACCCACAGTGCCGTGCTGATTACACATTAACTTCTCACCATGCTATAGAGCCACTCATCCCCTTGCTCGATTCTCAAAAAGTAGAAGTGCAGCAGCTGGTTGCTGAGCTTCTCTCACATCTACTTTTAGAAGAACACCTTCAGAAGGACCCAGTGACACAGCAAATAATTGGCCCTCTTGTGCGAGTTCTTGGTTCTGGCATACAAATATTGCAGCAGAGAGCTTTAAAGGCCCTAGTCAGTATTGCAATTGTATGGCCAAATGAAATTGCAAAAGAGGGTGGAGTTATTGAAATTTCTAAAGTGATATTGCAAGCTGACCCTTCCATTCCTCATACTTTATGGGAGTCTGCTGCCTCTGTTTTGGCAAGTATTCTGCAATTTAGTTCTGAATTCTACTTGGAAATTCCTGTTGCTGTTTTGGTAAGATTGCTTCAATCTGGATCAGAAACCACGGTTAGTAGTGCATTAAGTGCTCTTCTTGTATTGGAAAGTGATGATGGAACTACTGCGGTCGCAGAAGCAATGGCTGAAACTGGTGCCGTAGAGGCTCTCTTGGAGCTCCTAAGATCTCATCAGTGTGAGGACACAGCTGCAAGACTCTTAGAAGTATTGCTGAACAATGTAAAGATTAGAGAAACAAAGGTTACTAAATCAGCCATCTTACCATTATCCCAATACCTCTTGGATCCACAAACTCAAGCACAGCAAGCAAGGTTATTAGCAACTTTGGCTCTTGGTGATCTATTCCAGAATGAGGGTCTTGCTCGGACGGCTGATGCAGTTGCAGCTTGTCGTGCTTTAGTGAATGTGCTTGAAGACCAACCAACTGAAGAAATGAAAGTTGTTGCCATATGTGCTCTGCAAAACCTTGTGATGCACAGTCGATCAAATAAAAGAGCAGTTGCAGAGGCCGGTGGAGTTCAGGTTATACTCGATCTGATCGGTTCAAGTGATCCTGAAACATCTGTTCAGGCTGCAATGTTTATTAAACTTCTCTTTTCAAATCATACTATTCAAGAGTATGCTTCTAGTGAAACAGTCAGAGCGATAACTGGTGAGCTCTTTGCCATCATGCAATGTTAACATTTGTTTTTATTCTGAAAAGTTTTTATGTTATCCTCTTTTTTACTTAAGTGGTGCATTATTTTTTATGTGGCCGTTTACAAAGCAAGCTTTCTGATCCTTTCATGAATTAGTTGAGAAATCATGCATTTTTTCTTGCTTTTACAAGCCGGAATATAATTTGGTTTTCTCAATATTTTCAATTGAAATAACTAATAATGTTACATATGAAGAAGTTAGCAAATTTTGTGTAAAATATTGAAGCTTATTTTTGGAAAGTGGCTGTTTGATTAATGTAACCAATCCCAACTGGTAGGAAAAGGCTATTGTTGTTGGACATGGTGATGCTATATAACCTGTTCTAGAAAAAATGGGGACTTGGGCTTCTGTTCGGCACTCCGTATGAGTGACTTCAAAAATATTTGTTAAACTTAGAAGTCTAAGTTAAACGAAGATGAAGGTGTTGTTTTTAAGTAATCCGAGTTTATTGATAAATGATGATGATAGTATGCGTTTATTTATAAGTTGCTTCATCAAGCTAGCCAGAATACTCTCATTTATGATTTATTGTCTGTCTTCATTATGTGAACATTGCCTAACAAAGTTTTGTATGGTCTTGTAGCTGCTATTGAAAAGGATTTATGGGCTACTGGAACTGTGAACGATGAGTATCTTAAAGCCTTAAATTCTTTATTCAGCAACTTCCCGCGACTGAGAGCAACTGAACCAGCAACACTTAGCATTCCACATCTAGTTACATCCTTAAAGACAGGTTCAGAGGCTACTCAGGAAGCTGCCTTGGATGCACTTTTTCTGCTCAGACAAGCTTGGTCAGCATGCCCAGCAGAAGTTTCTAGAGCTCAGTCCATAGCAGCCGCAGACGCTATTCCTTTGTTACAGTTTTTAATCCAGTCTGGCCCACCTCGGTTTCAGGAGAAGGCAGAATTTCTATTGCAGTGTTTGCCGGGGACATTGGTGGTGATTATCAAGTGTGGTAATAATATGAAGCAGTCCGTTGGAAACCCGAGTGTTTACTGTAAGCTTACACTTGGAAACACTCCTCCACAGCAAACCAAGGTATTTTTCAAAAAACCAATTTCATACCTTATTCATTATCATGTGATCTTGTCTGTGATTCTCTAGGATTACTTGACATGTTTGTTTTGCGTGAGAATAATATACAATTGTCTTTCCATGTCAAACATGCATAGATTTAGTCAGTGATTACATGAGATCAATATGCTAAATTGCTAATACATCATGTACTGCTCAGGTGGTTTCAACTGGCCCCAATCCAGAGTGGGATGAGAGTTTCTCATGGTCCTTTGAAAGTCCTCCCAAAGGCCAGAAGCTTCATATTTCTTGCAAAAACAAGAGTAAAATGGGAAAGGTAACTGGGAAATTGGACTAATAACAAATCACTCTATTCATCTTCACTCATTATGCTCATACACTTCTTCTTAACCCTCCTAATTTAATATTTTTATCTGATGACAGAGCTCATTTGGGAAAGTGACAATCCAGATTGATCGGGTGGTGATGCTGGGGGCAGTATCTGGAGAGTACACTCTGTTGCCTGAAAGTAAAAGTGGCCCCTCAAGAAATTTAGAAATAGAATTTCAATGGTCCAACAAGTGAAATTGAAACATACTAGTACATGCTTGAAAAGGAAGGAAGTTTTGTTTAAACATTGGATTTTATTTATAATGCTAGTGTATATAGCAATAGTTGTTCGTTAATTGTCTATAGTCAGTCGCGAACAAATTCTTTTGTCGTAATATTCTTTTGTAACTTGATCATTCATTTCCTAGTTTAAATACTAGGAGCACGAAGATCAGGCCTGGTTCTAGTTTCTTGTATGCTTGATGCTGTTGTCAATTTTTCCCTTTACTGGGTTGTAATTTGTAAACTCATATATTTGAGAGTAAATTAAATGTAAAATAACAGTATGTTAACTGTCGTACTAAAAGAAAAGTATGTCATGTGAATTTTTGTACTGATTTAGTTTTGGTATATTGTTCATCGTTGCATTTCTTAGTTACTTTTAAACTTTGGTGGTGTTACTTGCTACATAATTTCAGATTACTACCAGATTCTCGAGAATAGAGTTTAGAGTATGGAGTTTCATATTTGTTAGTGTTATTAAAGGAAAGCTTTTTGATTTTCGTCCCATAATTTTTCTTTAAAAATTAATCTTTGAAATTTTTTTGTTCTTGTTTTAATTCTATATTTAAAATTCGCAGGAAAATTCCTAGAAGGACATGAAGATTTTTCGTTGGATACTTTAGAGACTAAATCAAATGAAATTCAATATATAAGAATTTTATTCATAAAGAAAAGGTTAAATGTGTCAAAGTTTAATTTCATTTTCTCTAAAATTTTCCTTCTAAGGATTTCTCAGTTTTTAAAATTGGTTCTTCTCATTACTTTTAACAAAGGCTTACGTGTAACATTTTTAATTTTATCGAAAGTTCACGTGTAATATCTTTATGTTGCTCACATGGAGATTCCTATTATTAATTTGTCAAGGTTGATGTGTTGATAACATCTTTACGTAAGCAACATACACTTACCATCTTGAAAAACTTAAAAACTTCAACTTTTCCACAGAGAAAACTTAAATAACTTCAACAACTTGATCGCTGCCTTTGTTCTCTCCTTTCACTTGCAAGCATGTGTGATCCTAGTTAGCCGCATTCAGTGGTTCTAGTTTATTCACTTTGTTGCATATTTAGTAATGGTAGTGTTAAATAAAGAATCATTCTTCTGTTATTACTACCTATATTGTATATGTATTCTTATATAAGTAGTATTTGTACTGCATATCGTATTTGTTTGACCTAATTTGACAAATTTTAAACCTAAGTCAATTTAGTGTACAAGAAATGGATAAATTTAAGGTTGTATTTTACACAAATGATTGTTTTGTAAAAGACCCTAACATAAGATATGATGGTGGGGAAGTATATGCATTTAGTAGTCAAGATTCCAATTATTGGTCTTTTTTTTAAAGCCAATGACTTAGTGAAAGCGATTGACCCTGAGTTTGATTTTAATGCTGTTAAAATGTGGTGGAAACATGATGAAGGATCTCTTAAAGAAGATTTAAAAACAGTTAGGGATGATGGAGATGCTTATGAGTTAGCTATGTATGCTGTTGGAAATAATTGCAAAGTTGAGATATTTTCTGAGGCAAAACCAATTACAGGAGAGGTCACCTTTATGGGTAGGGTTAGAGAGAAAATAAAGGGGAAGACATGTGACGAAGAGGATGACAAATTAAGTGAATGTAGTGGTGATTCTAGTGATGAATGTGTGAGGGGTGTACACTTTGATGATAATGAAGAGGAGAGAGTGAAAGAGTTTGATGAATGGTTTGATGCGGGTGTTGATGGTGAACCTAAAACTGAAGTTGTTGCTAATAGTGAGGCCCCAAGTGAACCAACCAAGAAGATGTTTATCACATAAGAGATGGGTAAGGAACATGTAATTGAATATGACTATATGACTGATGAACTGGATAGCGGAGCTGATGATAACAATTGTGATAAAAAAACCATGTGTAATTAGGTTCAATGAAGAAGATGCTCTAAGTAAGGATTTTACTTTCAAGATTGAAATAAAGTTTTCTTCATTGAAACATTTCAAAGATGTTATACTAGAGCATAATGTTTTGAATTATAGGGATGTGAGGTTTGAAAAAAATGACATCAATAGATGTAAGGTGGTATGTAAGGACAAGAAAAAATGTAACTATATTTGTCTTGTGCAATAGAGTTTTAACCTCTACAACATTTATGATAAAAACATTATTTGCAAAGCACAAGTATGGAAGATAATTCTTCAACGAAAGTGTTAAAGCAGAGTGGGTTGCCAAGGTCATTGTTGATGGGTTGAAGAATAATACAAAGATGAATTTAAATGACGTGGTAGCAGATGTTAGACTTAGGTATCCCACAGGAATCCCAAGATGTAGGAGCTTTCAAGGGAAGACAGATTGTTAGACACATTGTAGAAGGGGACTCTAGCAAACAATTTATCTTATTATGGTCTAATGGCGTTGAGTTGAGAAGGGCTTCAACAAGAAATACTTTCAAGATCAACACTAGTTTTCCATCTCCAGGTTTGAAACCAATATTTGAGAGGTGCTATATGTGCTTTGATGGGACCAAGAAATTTTTGACAACAACATGTAGACTATTTATTCGCTTAGATGAATGTCATTGGAAGCACAAGTATGATGGTATATTATTGATTATTGTAGGAAGAGATTCTAATGACGAATATTTTCCTATTTATTTTGGTGTTATTGAGAATGAAACAAAAGATTCATGGAGTTGGTTCATTAAATTTCTTCTTGAAGACATTGAAGAGAGCATATGGTGTTTCATATCTGAATAGCAAAAGGTAAGTTTGAATCTCATTAGTTGTATTTCTTATCTGCTTTTTTTTTACACTAATGCACTTGTTATTTTGTTGGAAAAGGGTCTGGTTCAAGTGTTTAAAAAGGAGTACCCAGGTTTTGAATACAGATTCTGTCTAAGGCACTTGCACTTGTACCTGGGTTCTAGTCAGACTAGCCAAGTTCATTTGGAACCAAAAAAAGGGTAATGTACTAACTTATTCTTGTGTTTATGCTTGTGTGTAGTTAATTTTAAGATTGTGTATAACAATGAATTTGTTTCTACCAGGGGAGGACTACGGGGTATGTTAAAAATGGCACAAGTCCAACTAGAACAAAGTCAAAAAAGACCCAATCAAAGAAGAAAGAAGTGGGAACTATTAATGATGAAGAAACTGTCAATAAGGAAGCAATTGTCAATGATGAAGCAATTGTCAACAATGAGGTAGAAGTCAATTAGGCAACTATTAAGGAGGTGCCAATAGTCAAAGAGGCAGCTTATAATTAGGGACCTAGTTTCAATGAGTCAGTTGTCAATAAGGAACAGCCTACACAATCTCCAAGTTTGGACAAGTTATGTGATTGAGATGTTGAGACTTTGGTTGCATTCCTGATGGATGATGATGTTTTTGGACATTTAGCCTTTGAGTGTTGACACATCACCTATCAAGCCAAGTGAATCAAATTCAAGTTGTGTTAGGGCTTTCTTTGGTAAACAACCAAAAGTTTGCAAAAATAAACCTTTTAAACCCCCAAGATTGTCTTCACCAAAGCTAAGTTGCAATGAATAAGTGAATATTAAAACCTGTTCTGAGCATATTCATTCCTTCTTAAGTCATATTTCTTATGTCTGTTCCTTTTTATCACAGGTCAAGGGTAGATTAAAGAAGAATGCTAATGTGAAATGTGCAAAAAGACAGAGTAAAAGGTTGAGGACCCTAAAAATAAAGGATATATATGGACCTGGTAAAAAAACCTGATGATCCTTTGGTGATCAATGAAGAGGAAACCACAGAAGAATTGATTGGTGGTGGTAGGATATCAAAAAGTTGGGCAAACATTTGTAAGGGGCTAACTCAGTGAAGACTCTTTGAAGATGAAGTTGAAGATAGATATTTATGTTATGTTTATGTTTATATTTTAAAGAAGATATTTATATGGTGTTGTATAACCATCATGTCATATGTAGTCTAATGTAATGAATGGATCAATTACTATTTTGATATGTAAGGAATGTAATGTACTGCATATGTAATGAGATGTTTGCAATTACTCTTTTGATATGTAAGAAATGTAATGTACTGCATATGTAATGATATGTTTGCAATTACTCTTTGGTGAAATCTATTTGTATTTCTATGTACATATATGTCACAATTATGCAGAAGTATAGGTCATAATTTGTTCAATTAATAAGCCACCTTATATCAAAGTTATAGGTTACATTCTGTATGTCATACCAAATTATAGTACATTACATAACTGGATCAAATTATAGGTCATACCAAGTGAAACTTACAAAATCAATTAAACCAAATTATATGTCATGCCAAATTACAATACATTGCATGACTGAATTGCATTACATAAGTGGTGGTTACACAATTGAATAAGAAATGAATAACATTTCAGCATCAATTAAACATCATTACAAACTTATAAGAACAACAGTAGAGCATTTCAACATTTAAACTTCAATAAAAAGTACATGTTGACCATAATGAAAAATACAAGACAAATTGACTTCAGCTTTCCATAAAATGTATCTTACTTCATCTTGATTTGCAATCTCTTGTTCTTCTTCATCAAAGATTCATACAACTCCTTCAAAGTTCCAACAACTTGCATCTTTATCACCTTGCTCTCATCTTTGCTCCATTATTCATCTACATGTTCTTAAACATCCTTTCCTTGTGCAATATCATCACCCCAAATGAATAAATTGCAAGTTTCCTCATTTTTTCCAAAACAGACATATCCAAAAAAGTCTCCCTTTATTAACTTCGTTCTAGCAATGGTATGATATCATACAAACATTACACCTACAATTTCTCTCTGGACGGTTAATCACACTTTTGGAATGATAAGATACTGATTTTCTTCACCTTGATGAAGATGACATGCTATTAGTAATTTGAAGTGAACAAAATGCAGTAGAAAAAGACTAAGAAGAATGAAAATAAATTAGGGTTCAACGAAGAAAAAGATAAAAAAGATGTAGTGGAGCTGAAGAAGA